TAAAATGGTTTTTTTGCTTTTTCCAGGAGGCAAACACTATTTCAGTGGCAGCATTTATGAGATTTGATTTGCGCGAAAATCTGACTCATTACCGATCATAAATTAGGTGATCATGCGCCGATCCGGAAAGTTTTTTCCAGATCCGCTCATCTGCCGATTCCATACCAATTGCTACACGTGGAAATTCTTGTCGATAGCGCTCGATGACACGTGGATTCTCGTTATACGGCGCTACAACAACCACCCTTATTTCCGGTAGTGTTTCCACTACTGCTTGAAATCTACAAATTTTAAAAAATTTGGAAAAATCAAAAATTTTATAGTTTTTATCGGAAATTTTATAGTTTCTTTTGTGATCCGATACACGCTTCTCAAAGCACTTTCGTGTTTTCTCCTATCCTCCTTCACTCGCTTCTACTCGCCGTATTGGCGACTGCAAAAACAGTTGGAAATCGCAAAAACTAGCACATCAACAAACAATGAAGGGATTTAAAATTCTTTTATGTGCAACAGCAGGATGGTGGAGAAGTGCTAAAAAATTTAATGTCTTGCAAAGGAGGTGGAAAGTGAAAGGAACAGGCGCTTCTTTGTATCGGAAAAAGTTAAATAAATCGTTGTTTTGTTTGAAGCAAAAAAAAATTTTTTGTATTAGTAGCATCTATATGTGCATAGCATTATACGCATATATATATATATACATATATATAATGTTGCTATCCGCCAAATTGCACACAATATATACATATAATTCATTCCAAACTATCAAAAAGTTTCTTTCTCTTCAAACGTTTTTATCGAAAGCACTGCCAAGCTGCTTGTCAAAGTTTTTGCATATTTATTTTATATTTTCCCAATTTTTAGATCAGTAAATTGGCTCCGTGAGACTTTGCAAGTAAGACCCGTTGTTTGAAAAGTGCCAAAAAAATTCGTTATAAATTTTCACAAAAAAATTAGAAAAAACTGGTCAATAATTTCTGCAAAAATTCAAGCTTACTTCATCAACTGCTTATGGCAGTGTTCGCACTGCACTGGCATAAGTGCTACTAGTAAAATGTATCCCTTTGAATCGGCGACAATATCTCTGCCACCAAGCTGCCACGGTTCCGTCCGATTACACATTATTGGTGAGCTCTGAAATCATTGGCAGAGCATGGCGAAATTTTCTATTCGAATTTTTCTTCAGAAAAATTTTGAAAAAGTTTTTTTAACAAAATTTTTTCAGCAAAAATTAAAAAAATATCTTTAAACTAAGAAGCAATTTTCAAAAATTTTTCCTTGGAGACGAGCGGTTCTGAAAAAACCATTGGATGGTGTAAAAATTTTTTGATTATGACAAGTAAACTGAGTAGAAAAGAATTTTTTGAAAATCCGTCACAGGCAGGATATTTTTTAAAAGTTTTATTGACCGGACAAGCTTTGCTGAATTTTCAAGAATAAGACAATTTTGAATATTGAGCAGATAAAAATTTTGGAAGTTTTTAAACAAGAGAAGTGTAGCGTTGCATTAACTTATTAGCATCAGAATAAAAATTTTGAAAATTTCCTACAAAAAAAACGGTGGAAAATGCTCTTTTTTCTCGATACAGGTGTTTTTTCCTTGATAAATTCTTTTCTCAAAATTTTATTTCAACTTAATATTTGTTCGATCGAAAGAATTGATACAGTTGAACTTGGCATGACGGGGTATCACAGTAACATGGAATGCCCACATCGGCTATCCGGATTATCATGGAATTCTTGACCAACACGCTTACAAGAAGTCGTTTATAAAATGTGGAAATAATAATAGAACCGTTTAGAATTCGAGTAATTCTTTAAAAAAAGGCTTAATGAAACAGTCAGGGAAGAAAGCTGATGTTCTTTCTGCTAGCTTGAAATAC